CAGCAAAGTAGGTGTTTGGCAGAAGTTTCACTGCTTCTTTTTTTGCAAGCGTCCAACCTGGACAGCTCGGACAGCAGCTGGAAGGCGGACTTCCGAAGCCACCGCTGCGGGTGGACTTGACACTGTCTTCCGCTTCCAGTGGAAGGTGCTGGAGGTTCTGCGAGCCTACCAGGCCTGGGAGCACCGCCTGCGCACGCTGGCCGGACTGCTGGAGACGGAGGGAAGCGTCAAGCCCGAGAGGCTGGACAGCAGCTCGAGCACGCTGCGGGCCGTCTGCGCCGCCAGGGTCTCACCGAGCGCGCGGCCAAGCGGTTCCGCGCGCGGCTTCGAAGCGCTGCCGCGCTGCCTCCTGTAGGAGATCCTGCTCTGGCTGCTGCCCCGGGACTGGCAATCTGACCTGGTCTGCCATGGTGCGCGGGTGTGAAAGTTTTTGACTTCCTGTGAGTGCCTTTACAGTTGATATATGTCTTGCACATGTGAGATGAACCACGAGCTTGCGTTGCGTGAGTTAGGTACTGTGCTTGAAGTGTTTGTTTTGTTTTAGCAGAAACAGGCATGGAATGGCATGTTTTGAGCTTGGCTTGAAAGTGTTTCTTGCTTTGAGCTTGACGTGAGATGATTGGAGTGTGCATGATGAGCAAAGAAGCACCAAAGATGCTCTAGGAGCATCCTTCTGAGGTTGGAGCAGAGTGGCTGTGCACTTGTATGCTTGTTTTGCTGAAGCACTGAAGTCCTGAGAAGCATTAGGACGTTTGCGTGTGTTCCTCCTTTGTTTAACAAAGTTGAGATGGAATTCACGAAGGTGAAGCTGCGCTGACTCTGCGAGAGACTTGCCGAACACCTTGTGTGTTTTGGCTCCAGCGTGGAGTGAAAAAGAGCTCTGCGTTTTTCACATGGTTGCGGAGCGTCTGAGGACGTTCCAGTAGATACCATGGCCGCCCAAGCTCCGGACCCTTCTCAGGTGCCGGTACCGGACGTGAGCCCTGAAGAAGAGGCTTGCTGTTTGGTCAAGCAGGCCAGACAACTTCGCGACCTCAGGAAGCACCGAACCCTTTTAAGTCCCCTCCGGCAACTCCTGCTCAAACACAGGCTTCGCCGGCTGGAAGTCAGGCAGGGGGAACTTTGCCTCCAGCCAGCGGTGGAGGAGCCGAGACTGGCTTCCAGGCCATCGTGTTGGAGATGCTACGTCGGCAGAACCAGTCTACACTTGAGCTCTTGCGTCAGCAAGGACAGGCTACTCAACAGAACCAGCAGTTGATAGCTGCTCTCATGAGACGCATGGACTTAGAGGAGAAACGCCGGAACGAGGCAGAAGAGAAGGCCGCTGAGACTGCCAAGTTGGTTGCTGAAGCTGCAGCTCAAGCCAAGACTGCCGACCCGTTTTCTGGACCTGGTGCTACAGCAGCAACGGGGTCGTCTTCGTCTACTTCTTTTAGTAGTGGGTCCACTCTTCAGAACCGAGCCTGTCAAGGCATGAGCAAAGGACGCATGCGAGAAGTGGAAACATGGCACGGCTATGTGGAGACTTTGAGTTCGTGGTTGGCTTTGCAAGACGAGGCTTTTGTTCGGGAGCTTCAGCTGTGTGTGAAGGTGAAGCACGAGATACTCCAGAAGGATCTCAGTGTGGAAGTTGCAGCGAGGAGCGCTAAGCTGTTTTACTACCTGACCCAAGCCCTTGCAAAGTGGGAAAGGGGTCTGGAGTTGCTACGCTCCTGCTCGAAGCGACAGGCTTTGAGTGCCTGTGGGTACGAGGCCATGCGCGCCATCACACAGCAGTACAGCATAGTATCCCGCATGGAAGCCGTCTTCGTACGTGACCAGTGTTTGAAGTTGCAGCACACGTGCCAACATATTCGGCGACCTACTGACCTCATTAGGCACCTTGAAGATGAGTTTTCTCGGTCTGAGGCAAAGTTGTCGAATTTCCCTGAACTTCTTCTGTCAGAGGCTGATCGGTGCAGTATCCTTTTGCAAGCGGTGAATACCGAGCTTCGTCAATACGTTGTCTTGCATGGGAAGAGCAACGACTGGAACTCATTGTGCAGCAGTCTGAAGTACTACGCAGAACAGCTTCGACTCTGTGAGGCTCCAGGTGGAACGTCTCGATCCCTCAGTGACACTTTGTGTGATTACTGCGGGAAACGGGGACACCAAGCCGAGAAATGCTGGCAGAAGCAACGGGATGAGAAGGCCCGTGGTGGTGGAAGTCCGGATAAAGGCAAGGGCGACCAAGGAAAGGATAGAAAGAAGCCTAAAGACAAAGGAAAAGGGGACCGAAATCCCAAAGGTGGGGGAACTCCCAAAGGCGGAGGAACGCCGCGGGGAGCACTTAAGGTTGAGCAAGACCGTCATGGGACATGATGTACTTCAAACAGTTCCTGCTGGAACACGTTGGAGCCCTCCGCAGGTTCTTTTGAGGTCAATACCCTCGCTAGTTCTCGCAGAAGCTGAAAGCGAGACACGAGCCAGTGCCTTCGCCTGCTTGAATAAGCATGCAGTTGACGCTGCGCATTGAGAGCCTTAACCAGCCCACGGGGCGTGTGACAAGTGCGATTACACTTTACAATTTTGGTGTCGAAGTGCGTCCCCGAGTGTACAGAGGGAATGGCCAAGCCAGGCCACTCCTCCTTCCCCGCGAAAGCCCGCGCAAGGCTCGGAAGCAGGGGACCTGACCTGGGGCTGGCGAACCCTGCAGGGCAAACCACATGCAGCCACGGGCGAAGGGCGCTCGAGTGGCAGCAGGGATTGGCGGCCTCCCCCCTCGCCATCGCCGACCTGACCAGGGACACCAACCATGGATGCCGATGAACACACATCGTGCTGCGGCCGTGCCGGTGAGCCTACAACGGAGGGGCCCCGGAACATCTGCAGAAAAGGGCGTACAGAGCAAGTGCCCCCTAAGTGGGCTGGGTGGGAGACGAAAATTGTGCTGCTGCTCCCGGACTGAGCCCATGAGAAGATCAAGAAGGATTCTCAAGCAATTGAAGCACAAATTCGTACATGATGTGAAATTGCGACAAGCATGTTTCGCTACCCCTGCAAGTAAAATGTGCTGTGTGAAAATGACAACGTGCTCACCAAGTCCAAGCGTTGTTGTATCGAGAATTCGAGACGGCCTTTCTCTCCCTCGACTTTGAGAAGCAGGTTCTCCGCAGTGGTCAAGGCCCTCTCTTTCACCATAGGATTCGATTGCTGTTGCTTCGCTTTCTCTTGGGTGTGGTGTGTTGCTTTGTTTGCTGTGTTGCTCCTCCAAGTAGTTTGACCGTCTCACCTCGTCGCAATAGACCGGCCCACTGTGCTGCTGATGTGGTAAGGGGCGTCTTAAAAAAAAAAGTCAAGGCCCGGCTCCTTCACCAAACTGAGACAGCGAGCTCGTCAGGCGACGAGGCAGATGGCTAAATCATCGTTCGATGGAGATTTACGTCCAGGAAGTGGCGGCGCTGCATTTCTCCGCGACAGTCCCAGCCGTCGCCAAGACCAAGGTTTGTCCTTGGTGGAAGGATTCCAAAATCTCCTGTTCCGTGCAGAAGCACTTGAGCGTGCAGGGGTCCCCCCTGCTGTTTGGTTCAATCTCTTTCGCCTGGGTTAACAGCCGCAATGGTTGGAAAGGTTGGGTGTGGCGAAAGCCGCTTTGGGCATACTACCAGGAGCTACTTCAGACTCTGGTGCAAAACAGAAGTTGCACCGTTGCCGCTTGGTTAGCATGAACACCTGACCTACAGATGCCCAGGAGCTACTTCAGACTCTGGTGCAAAACAGAAGTTGCACCGTTGCCGCTTGATTAGCATGAACACCTATTCGGCATAGGCCACCAACAAGCCGTGCTTAAAGGATCCTGGAACTTAGTTTGTAGGGCCATGAGTACCTTGAATGGGGTTCTCAGTAACAGTAACCATGACTACCCTAAGCATGCACTAAGTTCCCTGATCCATTAAGTAAACCCTAAACCCTACGAATAAATGAACGAAACAACGGCCCATGACTAAGACCTTTTTGCTTTTTGGGGCCACAAAACAAGATTATATTAATCGCGGGTGCCCTTTCTCTATACACATATATATATATATATAATATTTATATGTATTTACACACTCATGAAGTTTGGGTTTTTAATCATGCGTCGTTTATCTTTGTCAGATGTCCTCATGATGATGAGAAAGCAACATGTTGCCATGTACATTTTGCCTCTTTCCACTTTGAGGGATGTAGACCGCTTTTGATGTTGCTGTGCTTGTTTATGAGCACTTGGTGCGATGCTGGAAAACAAACACAGTGCTGTGAGAACAGGACGCATTTGCGGGTGGTTGTGGCTGGAGTGCCCCCTCTCCCAAAAAAAACAGAAAGAAACATCCTTTTTCGGAGCCATCGAAGCCTAAGGCCTTGACAAGCCACCTAAAAAAACTCTACTTTGGGTTCTTTGTAGGGAAAGAGGGACTTAGGTACCGTTAATCCCCCCCGTCCCTCTCTCTTTCTCTAATATGAGACGCGGTCAACATTTCCGCTTGCTTATCTTAGTAGAGTGGGTAGTTGCTGCAGCAAAACGCGAGGACAAATAATAGGGTTTTTTGATACGATAGGATAAACAAGTGCGGTAGGTGAAACACATGGAAAACGCTAGGGGGCGTGCTAATTCAAAACAAGCAAAGCCGACTCATATATACCTTTGAAGGAGATTCCAAAAAGCCAGTAGGAAACCTGAAGAGCCGCAAGCCCCTGCACCGCAAAGCCCAATCCATGAACCTCAAACTTCTAAGAGCCCTTCTGAGCACAACAGGCCTGGCAGCCGAACGTTTTTGTTTCAAGGCTAGTGAGCAGCAGCTCAGAAGCACATCAGCATAAGCATTGGTGTTTGGTGCAAGGCCTGCGTTACACAAGCCTTCAGAGCACAGGCGAGGGACGACAGGAAGTTGCACCACGTAGCCATCCCTGCCATGAAGCTGTTTTGCCTGTCTGCCCTTTCAGTGCTTCCATTGCTCGACACCTTTGTGGATGCGCTGTTCATGCCCGAGGAGGCCGCCCGGCAGACTCGCGTGTTCATGTCGACAGCTACCAGCTACATCTGGGGCTCTCACGCCCAATCTGTTCAAAGCTCCCTTGCCCTCCTGGCCAACACGCTGGTGAAGTACCAGCCTGTGGTGATCTATGTCAGCCCAGGTGATGTGACATTCATGCGAAGCGAGCTGAGCAGCGAGGTGCAGATTGTCGAGTTTCAAGTGGACGACCTGTGGATGCGGGACACGAGCTGCATCTTTGCATACAGCTGCAAGAACTACACCGACTGTGTTAGCACATATGGGCAGCCGGTGAACCATGCATGGCCAAATGCCCCATTGTCCTGTGTGGACTTCAACTTCAATGGCTGGGGGAACAAGCAAGAGCACACAAACGACGCCAAGGTTGCCGCCAATGTCGCGAGCTTCTCAGGGGCCACGTATGTGCGGTCCAGCTTGGTGATGGAGGGTGGTTCCGTGGAGGTGGATGGCGAGGGCACGGCTATCATCACTCGGAGCTCCGTGCTCAATCCCAACCGCAACCCGGGGTGGACGGAGGCTCAGGTGGAGGATGAGCTTTACACCACGCTGGGCATCGAGAAAGTCATCTGGACGGATGGGATCATGGGCATGGACATCACGGATGCCCACATCGACTTTTACGCCCGTTTCGCTTCCCCCGGCGTTGTGGTTGCTGCCAGAGAGAACGACCCTTCCCTCGACGATTACACCGTGACCCGCCAAGTGATCGCTGATCTGCAGGGTGCCACGGATGCTCACGGCCGCCAGCTCACTGTCCACATCTTGGACAACCCCGAAGCGCGATGTGTTACTGGCAGTGCCTCTCTTTTTATCCTTTTCAAAGTCCGTCAACGCTGGACCCTAAACCCTGAACCCTAAATCCTAAACCCAGAAACTCGAAACCCCTGGAACCCAAAACCCCCGCAAAGTCCCACCCTGGGTTCCCGAAACCCCCAAAACATTCTCGGCTCAGAGGATAGTCTTCGGTCTCCTTGGGGCGCAGGGTCAGCGGCCGCGAACTTTGCGGCATCGTATATCAACTACTACGCCTGCCTCTCAGGAAGTTGTGTTGATTTGGGGATTAGGGTTTAGGGTTTAGGGTTTAGGGTTTAGGGTTTAGGGTTTAGGGTTTGGTTTAGGGAGATGGTTCTAGCAGTTCGCTTTCAGAAGCTCGGTTCTGCATAGTCCTGTTTTGATGGCTTAGGAGCGGAAACCGCACCTCCAAGTTGCTAGAGCTAGACCCGGCTTTGAACTACAAGTACCAAAAAAATCGACTTTTCGCTGGTAGTGTTCTGTTTGTTCGCGCCGCCCTCAGAAGCAGGAGCAGCTAACTCCGCCCTTGGACCCCTGAACCCGAACTCAAAACCCAGGTCCAGTGTCATCCACTGAGTCCACAGACAAGAAGAGGTTTCAAAAGGAATATGGGGGTTTATGAAAATAAGGGTACCCCTTTTCATACCCCAAATGGACTAGGATCCCCTTAACGGGACCACCACAAAGGGTACCCCTATTTTCGGAAACTCCCAGAGGCAATCTAGTTCATGTCGGAGTCTATGTGCATCAGGTGGGCAATGGCGTGGTGGTGGCGCAGAACTTTGGGGACAGCTTCACGGACGCAGCGGCGCTGGCCAAGCTGCGCGAGCTCTACCCAGGGAGGAAGTGGTTTTTGGGCTAAACCCAAAACCCTTAAACCCTAAACCCTAAACCCTAAACCCTTAAACCCTTAAACCCTTAAACCCTTAAACCCTAAACCTGAAACCCTAAACCCTTGAGCCCTAAACCCTAAACCCCAGTAGGGTTCGCGGTTTCGGGCTTAGGGACGCAGGACTGTGGAGAGCCTGAACATGGATCCCCTTGCCTTCGGGGGCGGTGGGGTCCACTGCGCCACGCAGCAGCAGCCTGTGGGGACCACCTCCAGCTCCTTACCGTCGGTTAGCAGGGAAGGAGGGATTTTTTGGGGCCTGTACATATATATATACCCTTTAAAGGGATTATTTAGGGTACCCTCATTCCCCCCATTCCCTAAACCCTAAACCCTGAACCCTAAACCCAAAACCCTAAACCCACCAACTGTCAGGCTCGCCGAGCTCGCAGTCTGAGACGAGCAAGACCAGTTTAGGGTCCCCAAAGTCGGCCTCGCTCGTGCTCGCTGTCGTAGCTGCAGGGCTTCTTCGCCTCTAGCCGCACGGCCTGGGGTTTTTGCCGGCACAATGCTGCTGGCAGAATCTGGAACTCGTGAAAATTCACATGCTTGGCACAGCTTTGGGGGGTTTCTGCGTTTGCGGGGTTTGGGGGGTTTGGGGGTTTTGGGGGCTTTCGGGGGTTTCGCGGGTCTCGGGATGCTTTGGAAAATGGCGCTTGAGCTGCCGCTTCAGGAGCCCCATCTGCCACAGGCTGCAGGAGACCCTAAACCCTAAACCCTAAACCCGAAACCCGAAACCCTAAACCTAAACCTTAAACCCTAAACCCTAAACCCTAACCCTAAACCCTAAACCCTAAACCCTAAACCCTAAATGCGAAACCCTAATCCCTAATCCCTAACCCTAAACCCTAAACCCTAAACCCTAAATGCGAAACCCTAAACCCTAACCCTAAACCCTAAACCCTAAACCCTAAACTCGAAGCACATGTTGGGCTTAGAATTCCATGTTTGCTTTTTGCATGGCGCAGTCCGCGGGTTTGATCTTCACATGGCCCACAGTTTTAGGGCGTTGAGAGGGAAGGAACAAGGGTTTAGGGTTTAGGGCTAGTCCAGGGTTTAAGGGACCCTAAGCCCTAAACCCTACACCCTCAGCAAATTGCGCCATCGCTGAATTCTCGAGCCCTGGCTAGACCCTCAACCCGAAGATTCTAGGATTTACGGGTTTAGGGTTTAGGGTTTAGGGTTGAGGATTCAAGGGTTCAGGACTCTCTGAGGAAACGGTCTGGTGTGGGCATCATGGCGGCCTCCAGCCTACCGGGCCGAATCAACATCACGGTGAGCACCGCGTTCCTTGCCTGGAGCCCCAAATTTTCTCCCTCTGACCCTAAACCCCAAAACCCGCAACCCCAAACCCTAAACCCTAAACCCTGAAGCCTAAACCCTAAACGTTAAACCCCTCCCTTCACAAACCCTCACCCGCCCCTGAACCCGCCTTATCAAACACGCCAAAGCCCAGGTCTGGGGAGACTTGCACCATTGCGGCCCTGGCCTCGGGTCGCGTGGATCAGCTGCACGGCGCCATCGAGCGCGTGCTGCGGATCCCCCCCTGCGTGCAGAATCTGATCATCGCGTGTGACGGTGGGGCGCGGGAGATACGGAGCCAGGACCTCTTGTCCAGTTTGCCCTTGCAGAGCTGCCAGCACCACATCACCGTCTTCAACAGCTGGCCGCAGGCCTCTCGCTTAGTAGGGCTCCGCCCACTCCCTTTTGGTGCATGGTCAGGAATTCGGAACACTTCGTCTCAGGCTTTCCTATGAAGTCTTGCCTAGGAAGCCCTCATAGGCTCTTTGTGGCACACGCACAATTTGATGCAGGATCCCGCTCAGATTGTGGAGAAGCTCAAGGCCGCCTCTCGTGCTCCGACGCGGAACACTGCAGCGGCGGTGGCGCGCTGCTTGACATTCGAGGACAGCGCCGTGCAGGCGGCTGCTCTTCAGGCCTTGTCATGGATGGGAAAAGCTGCCAAGCCGCACGCGCCTGAAATTGCCGAGCTGCTGAAACTGGATCCGGCTTCGGCGGATGCCGCAACCATGGGTCGCTTGAGGGCTCCACGCGGCGCGGGCGTCGCTGCTGCAGAGTCCTTGTCCTGGTTGGAGGAGGCTGGCTCAAGATATGCCGCCGACATTCTCAGGTACGGATGGTATTGGACTTCCTCCAAATCCAGGCATGCCTTCGTGGAGATGTGTGAGTCGGATTCGTCAGCAACTCGACTTGCGGCAACGACGTCCTTGATTGCCATGCTGGAGCAGGAAGGGATCGCAGCTGCTGGGCGTGCGCAACGGCGTCGTGAAGTTGCTCTGCCCTATATCTGCCGCGCCGTTTTCGACGAGTGTGATGAGATTCACAGGGCATCAGCAGCATGCCTGATGCAATGTGTCCCATCCTTTGCCGGTGAGAATGACCTTTTCATGCTGGGGGATGCGATTCTGGTGCAGTTGCTCTGGTTCGGAGAGGCTCACCGAGGTGAGATGGTTGCCAAAGTCATTGTGGGTTCCTGTTCGCCCCAAAGGATCCGTATAATAGCCCTCCGCCCACCCTCGAAACCCCAACGCTGTTAGGTGAGTCAATTCCTGACGGTGTCTCGGCGGTTTGTCGGGACCTCGCCACAAAGCTGGACGGCTTTTGGCCGCAGTTTGCTGGGTGGCAGGAGGGACTCCACGACGAGGAGTCGCGATCTTGGCAACTGCAGAGTTCATGGTTTAAAGGTTTAGGGTTTAGGGTTTTTGGGGTTTAGGGATGATTTTCGCAGGAGCTTTGTGCTCACAGTACGGATCATCGAAGTCAACGGATTGTATGGTTGGCAATGAAGCCTTAAACCCTGACCCTCAAACCCGAAACCCTAAACCCTAAGACCCAAACCCTGACTCAACCCTAAACCCTAAACAAACTTTTTTTGAGGGGCCTTTTGGGGTTGTCAGGAGGAGGAGTCCGTGGAAGCTGCAACGCAGGTTGCTGTATCCACCGTCCACTACCTCCGGCGCAGGTTTCAGCAGTGGGCGGCCGAGACCCGAGCAACCTTCAGCGGCTTGGGCTTAGGGTTTAGGTTCATTTTTTTTTTCGGGTTTAGGGTGTAGGGTTGAACCCCCTAAGCCCTAAACCCTAAACTCCTAAACCCCAAACCCTTCTACAGCCTGTTCCCTTAAAAAATCCTAGGCTACCATTCTTAGGCTCCTACTCTTTCAAGGACCTGAGCCTGAACCCTCACACAGCTTAAACCACTGAAGCCCTAGGTTTGGGGTTTAGGGTTTAGGGTTAGGGTTAGGGTTTAGGGTTTAGGGTTTAGGGTTTAGGGTTTAGGGTTTAGGGTTTAGGGTTTAGGGTTTAGGGTTTAGGGTTTAGGGTTTAGGGTGTGAATCCCTCAGATGAAACTCCGGACATGAGCCTGGATCTCATTGAAAGCCTGGAGGCAGGCCTGCTGAGTCGGCGATGGCAGGCCAGGGTTTAGGGTTGAGGGTTTAGGGTTTAGGGTTTGGGGTTTAGGGTTTAGGGTTTATGGTTTAGGGTTTAGGGTTTGCGGTTTGGGGTTTAGGGTTTAGGGTTTAAGGCCGTGAGCTCCCGGTTGGGGTGCCGACATGCAAAACCCCAAGCCCAAACCCCCCTAAACCCTAAACCCTAAACCCTAAACCCTGAACCCTGAACCCTGAACCCTGAACCCTGAACCCTGAACCTGCAAAACCCCAAGCCCAAACCCCCCTAAACCCTAAACCCTAAACCCTAAACCCTGAACCCTGAACCCTGAACCCTGAACCCTGAACCCTGAACCCTGAACCCTAAACCCCAGGTGCGGAAGGCAGTTGTGGAGAGCCTCATCGCCATCGCACCCTGGGGCGCCCTTCACGAAGCTGGTTGTTGTTGTCGGGTTTTCGGGTGGGGTTCAAAGATTCATTGGGTTTTGGGTTCATTGGGTTATTGGTTTGTGTTGTTTTTCTCCTGGGCTTTTCGGGTCGGGCTATGGGCTTCGAGTGTTTTGTTCGGGTTGTTTTGGGTTCGTCGGATTTATTGGGCTCTTGGGGTTCTCAGATTAAGGGGAAACTTGGTTTCTTTTTGGGGTTGTTGGGTTTGGCGTTCGGGGCTCAACTGTAAAGGTTGGGGGCTTTTCTGTTCACTTACAACTGAGAGAGCTCAAGTCATGTTTTGACTCTGGACCCTAAACCCTAAACCCTAAACCCTAAACCCTAAACCCTAAACCCTAAACCCTAAACCCTAAACCCTAAACCCTAAACCCTAAACCCTAAACCCCAAACCCTAAACCCTATACCCTAGTGGGGTTTTGGGTTCGAAGCAAGGTGCCCACGCAGTGCTCGGCGTGTTGAGGGTGAAGGAGAAGGAGACGTGGCTGAAGTGACATAGAGTTCAGGGTTCAGGGTTTAGGGTTTCGGGTTGAGGGGTTTCGCGGTTTCGGGTTTCGGGTTCAGCGTTTAGGGTTTAGGCTGGTTCTTCGTGCTTGGGGTGCCTCAAAGTGGCTTGGGGCGCCAGCCAGGAGAAGCGGCGAGAGGTGCTAGACTCGATGTCGCGCTTCCTCTCGAAGTACCAAGCTACGGTGCTCGACCACTCGACGGTGCGCCGCTCGGAGTTGATGAGGCACAGCTTCTCTCTGTATGCTGGTGCCTCCTTCTTGGAGTTTACGAAACTAGGGGACCCACAATACAGCCCCCAAATACTAGGATTTCCCTATCATGTAGACCCCAATAAGGTACCCCCCCCCCCCCCCCCCGCTTCCCCTAATTTCGGAAACCCCCATCTTGGAGTTCTTATGACAAGGGTCGCGAGAGAGCTGTTATGCTTATAGATGTTCTACATGAGGTCGGCCCCATCCCTCAAGAAGCTGCATAAGCAAAAGACTGATGCAACCCCCCCCTGTGTAAGTACTGTAGGGTGCGCACACCTCCCCCCCGGGAAATCTTTTTAATATGATGAGAATCGGCATTGTGCAAATGTTCCTACTGTTGCTCTCCGACCCTCACTTGGAATCCAGGTCAGTGCTTCCTTCCCTTGGTCTTTGATTCAGATTACTCCTCTGACGACGATCTTCGCAGACAGGAGTACTTGGAAGAAGAGCAAGACGGGCAGATGCGTGACAAACATGGCGGCTATCTCAAGTCGCACGTGAGTCGCACTGCCCGGCACCACAAGCAGCATGGTGCCAACTCCTCACAGGCCCCTTCCTGGGTGGCGCGCAAGAAGAAGTGGGAAAGGCGGGAGAGGCGCTCGCAGCCGTCGGCGCCACAAGCCTATTCCGACACCAAGAAGAAAAGCCAACGAGACAAGGAGCAGGCTTGGTCGGGAGCAAAAACCCTAAAGCCCGAAGCCCTAAACCCTAAAGCCCGAAGCCCTAAGCCCTAAACCCTAAACCCTAAACCCTGAACCCTGAACCCTAAACCCTAAACCCTAAACACCGGAGGATCGCCAGCTCAAGGCCGCCATCCTCGGCCGTGAGCTTCTGAACCTCTCCATGAATTGGAGCTTAGAGCCAGCGGAGGGTTGA